AGTGTCGTGTAGTGTACCCAAATGATGAACCACCTACCGACATCACCTATATTATATGATCGACCAATTTCATAACAGATTATTTGGAACCAAAGCTCAATTAATGGTACACACTGTGCACAGTTCAAGATTACTGACGATATATTTTCGTCCCGCCGTCTGTCTGTCCCCCGCACTCGGGCCTTTGTCAGCACCAAATAAGTGATTCTCCGTCTCCATCGAGTGTGTTTTATTTTCGATTCGCCAAGTTGTCCAGACCACATCGGTGTTCTCTAGTGTACCATGGTGAGATGGATAAGTAAAACCCGTGGGCCAGGTCGCTGACGATCGCTTGACTAGGCACACAGTGCCCTATCCAAAGCCACGACGGGAGCTTTGCTTGTGTTGGTGGCTCGTGCTCTTGCTCTTCGTTGTATGCTCCGCTCCGACTCGGTTCGGGACCAAACATCGAAAATGGAGGACGGAAGACAGTCGGACACCAGATCTCGCAGTTGGTAAATCTTGCGAGTCTCTCTCCATCAAAATGAAGGACTGATCCATAACGTGCCTTGCCAGCCATACCCTGCCTGACAGCCTCGGGGACAAACGGTCCAATGGCAAAACGAACATCACATCAGGGTCCTATTTGAGTAAACAGTGGACGGGCAAAGCACCTACCACCCCCCAAAATGGGCTGCAGGGCGCTAAGCGAAACTCACTCTGCTGTCGTCCTCAGTTTGGCGAATCCTCAGCTGTTATCGCGCCCGTTGCGTATGGTTTCGATTGGAGGTTTGGAGTGAAGCTGCGATGAAAGATGCCTGGCTGAAAGGAGAGATGATGCCTGCCCACTGCATTTCTGCCGCAACGGTGATTCGTGAATGTGTCAAGCAAGAGTGGAGCTTGCAGCTGCAAGACAGCTCCACACCTGTTTCGAGCATTGATGCACCTGCCTTACACCTGCCATGCTTGCTTCTTCTCCTCTACCTGTCGCAACTGCCTAAAATGTCGATGGACATACCCCGAAGTTTGTGTCGTCGGAGGCGCATGGGGCAGACGGGTAGCCATCCGCACAGATGAGACGGGATCCAACTAAAAAATGCCCTGACGACGGCGGGGGTGGGCTTGCGAATGGTACGGGCCCGGCCTCGCCATCATGGTGAATGAATGCCCCAGGCCCACAGGCTGACAGGGCAGGGCAGCGAGCACCTGTCAAGGGAATCTCCAATGCACCATCATCACCACACCAACCGGCCGAACTACGTTAGTAGGTAGCATCACAAGTGAAGTGAATGAAAGTTTGGTCCTTCTATTACTCCTGGTACAGAAAGGTGACGGCCGTCCAGCTTCTGCCCCAGGCAGGAACTTCATCGAACGTAGACGACCAACCGTCTTCCTCCGTCAAGACAAGAAGAGGTCGGGTTTTGCAGTGCCACCTTCGAGGCCCAGAAGGAGGGGTAGCGCAAAACATTGATACCACATACGATTGCACTTTCAACCCGAAGCTCAAAGTTACCTAATATCGAACGAACCAAACAATCTGGTCCAGAGTACGACTCTTCGTGACCTGGCTGACGACCGATCGCAAACCTGCAATTTTTACCAGCCTCCACACAGCCTCTTTTCCCTAAAACATCAACCATTTCTGCGTCGACTTCGCCCGCCGTCGTGAATCGCGTGCTGGCGCAATAGCGAATCTATACAGTAAGGTATGGTGCTTCGCATAATCCATTTCCCATTTGTTGTCCCTACCTGCCCAGCAAGACAAACGGGTCTAACAATGCCACCAGTTCATCCAATTTTGCCTTCCGTCTCGAATCATATACCTATCCATCGCCTCCTCGTGTCCTCACTCTGTCCAACAAACAAACCCGTCAGAATGTCTGCCATCTCGTCCCGTCTCTCGAAGCTGTTTCGGCCTTCCTCCCAGCCACATTGAACATTGTCGTACACCTACAAGTTTTGAATTCAAGCTTGTCACCCTTTGAGTCTCGAGAACATAGCTACGGAATAGACTACACTCCCGTTTCCATACAGACGTGCCTTATCCCACCGTCGACGTTAGCATCCGAGGTTCAAACGCATATCCCCAGTAGGGAAGCTCGCACACCGGCCGTTTCCCCAGTTCCACATTGACAAGCACAGCCCCTGTTACGGCGCTTATCCCGTGCGGGTCTCGAGTCGCTCGCAACAAAAGAATTCTTGCGGACCGGACATCGGGAGGAGCGGCCAAGTGACAGCTGCTCTACGACCGGCGTGACTACTCTGCCTGCCTAACCACTTGCTAACCTATTGGCAGAACGCCCTAAGCAGACAGCTTGAGGATAGCTCTTTCTTCTCCATCATTCAGCAAGGTTGTTTTCTTCGGCTACCATTGTTTTGACTTGTCAAGTGCCATATCGGCTACCACAGACCCGCTCACTCCGCTGCCTGCAAAGCCTCAAGTTTAAACATCAAAATATTAAAACCCACCGGGTTAACCATTATCATGGCTGCCCCCGAAAGCGACCTTATGGCCTTCTACCAAAGGTTTCAAACCCTTAGTCTTTTTAACGACAGCAGCGCGAGGCTGATAGAGGTGGGCTTCCGTCCAACAGAGTGACTGAAAGGCTGAAAGATGGACCTTTCTCAACTCATGCCAGTCTCTATTCATTAGGCTGACACGTATCTGTGCAGGACCTCCTCCTTTACTCCAAAAACGTTGAGGATGCTCTCCGCGAAGAAAACAGAGCCCTTAGGAGACAGCTTACAGATGCCCAGCTCGATCTTGAGGATGCCACTCGTTCTAGAAGAGACCTCCAGCAGCAGGTGGCGAATACCGAGTCTCGTAATAGGGACCTTGCTCAAGATAATCATCACTTGAAGGTGAGGGTCACTGGCCAGTCTGGTCGAGACAGTTATTGAAACAGAATATGCAGAACAACAATCCTTTTGTGGTCGTCCTCATAGACGGTGACTGCTGTTTGGTATGTCCACCCCTGGTCTCCTGCTTCCTCACGGCAACTGTCTAACTCTGTGTTGCAGTTTAAAGAAGCCTTAATCAGACAAGGAGTCGAAGGCGGTAAAAAGGCGGCTTATGCTTTGCGAAGCGCTATTCTTGAGCAATGCGGCGATTTTGCGGGCAATATGGAAGTCATTGCAAAAGTCTATGCCAACCTCGGTGGCTTGGCCAAAGCCATGAGACGCAACGGATGCCTGGAGGCTGAGGAAACTCTCAAGGAGTTCACCATTGGCTTTACTCAAGGAAAGGCAACCTTTGACTTTGTTGATGTTGGCCACGGAAAGGAGCGCGCGGATAACAAGATTAAAGGTAGGTTAATCTGTCCCAGTAGCACACTTGATAGATACTAACCGAAGCAGAAACGGCGAAATGGAATTTGCGCAACTACAACTGTAAGCAGCTTCTTCTCGGCATTTCGCATGATGCCGGCTATGCTCCATTCCTGGATGAGCTCTTCCAAGATGAGACCAAGAAGCGCCGCGTTACCGTCGTCGAAGGTGTTCCGACTGTTCGCGAACTCGCTTCCACCGGCGTCAACATTTTGAACTTCAACGACGAGATCTTCCGATCGGAGAAGCTGGTAGACAGGACATCACTGCGCACCAACACTTCTCCCTTGATTACCACGTCATCTTCATCTACCACCACTCCTACTGTCAGCAACGGCAATCTTCCGACTCCCACCAGCTCCACCACGTCTACGCCCGCGAACGCAACTGCTAGTTATGCCGGAGCCATTGGAAACGCGAGCCCTCCGCCCAAGATCACGCTTCCTATCCAGCCTAGACCTGTTAACGCAAATGCTCGTGCCTCGGCCACCCCGAAGCAGCCGGCCTGGAACCCCGGTCCTCGTGGCTTGGACCCGCCCATCAAGGTCTCACCAGCTGCTCTAGAAAGTATCAAGAAAAGGAAGGACAACAACAAACTTTGCAACAATCATTATCTGAGGGGTCCCTGTTCAAAGGGCGACGCCTGCTGCTTCGAACACAAGTATAAGCCTAGCAAAGAAGAGATTGACGCTATTGCCTTCTTGGCCCGCTTGAACCCTTGCACCAGCGGCCAGGATTGCGATGTCGAAGATTGTATTTATGGACATCATGTAAGTTTCACTCATCATGCCTCGAGTTTTGAATACGCGCTGACCGAAACCTCAGTGCCCCAACGTCAAGGACGGTGTCTGCACTCATCCTTATTGCAAATTTGAGGATGCCGATCACCCGCCCGGCACGAAATACAGAAGCACAAAGACCTATGACTACTTCTCTTAGACAGGGAACGATGTAGCTTTGAAGGGGATCTTTGACGCGGTGTGGAGAAGATGGGCGTCTATTTGAAAACCCATCTGATCAAGGGGGGTTCTTCAAAAAGAGTTTGGGGAAAACAAAATAAAAATTATCGAAGAGGAGGCTTTCTCAGCGAAGGGAATGCGATGGCGAGCTGTCCGAGAAGGATCCATCTGAGATGAAACGCACCAAGAAACGGATTTCACGCTCAGGGGCTTGCTGTGGCTGTTGTCTTCTGCAAACTGATCATTTCTCTAGTCTATTCAAATCAGGAGTCAGGGTTTAGGAGATAGTTCGAGTTGTTTGTTGTTGCGGATGCTAAACAGCGGAGAAACATTACGTACAAAATACAATCTAGTTTGTTTGTTAGCTTGATACCTATTCCAAGTACACTTGGACGAGATCACTTTCGAATTGTGCTAAACTTTACAACGACTAAATGAATGGCGAGGTACAGATGAAAGGTACCAACAAGATTTATCTTGGAAAAAACATATTCACAAGAACGCAAAGCATCGCTTGGACATGAAAACGGTTGGTGAAGTTGACTCGAGGTTGGCGGTTGGTGCCGCTGGTTCGTTGCCGGCCCGGAGCCGTGTGCACGGACTCCACTTTATTTCCCCGGCCGGCTACCCCACTCAACTCAATTGAAACCACATCGACAGCTTGGACGGGCCACCCCACATTTCTCCAACAACTCACGGGGAGCTGTTGGTTCATCTGTTCAACCACCGCGACCTTCCACTTGCCCCCCTGCCATAATTATCACAGACCTAGTCGCCTCAACTGTATCTGCGCGCTCAGAGGCCGACTTCACCCAAATACCTACCGAACGAACAAAGGTCAAGAGCTAGTGTCAGTCATAGACAACCGCCAAGATGCCTTCCCACCCGCGGGTAGAAGAAGTCGAGGACAGCGACCTTGAAATGTCCGACCCCTCCGAGGGCGACATTGACGACTTTGCCGAATCCGACATTCTCGTCCAGCGCGACGCTCCTCCCGCCTACGCCTCCAAAGTCATGCCCGGGCCCTCCTTCACCCCTCTCTCCGCCGCCCACCGCGCGCAGGCCGAAAAGCAACACCAACAATTCCAAGCTGCCCAGGCCGCCCAGGCTGCCGCCGCCGCTCAACAACGACAAGTCCCTCCCCCACAATATTCCCAACAACAACAACGACAGCCAGCCTACACCCAGCCCCCCGGCTACCCCCAGATGCAAACCACCACCGACGACTCGGCCTACAAATCCTTCCAGTGCCTGTACCCGTGCTACTTTGACGCCACGCGCTCGCGCGCCGAAGGCCGACGCGTGTCCAAGGAGCTTGCTGTGCCGAACCCGCTAGCGACCGAAATCGTCAACGCCTGCGCGCAGCTCCGCCTCTCCGTCGTTCTCGAGGCAGGCAAGCTGCACCCCAAGGACTGGGCCAACCCTGGTCGCGTCAAAGTGAACCTCAAGGAATTCATCCGTCTGCATGGCGAGAATGGGAAGCTGAAGAATAAACACCACTTGTATATCCTCGTGGCGGAGCATCTGAAGAAACACCCGACGACGGACGAGAGTCCGGCGTTGAGGGTCGTGGTGAGGGGCGCGGGACCCCCGCCTAGAGAAATGTTGGAGGAAGGCAAGAAGTGGCCGAGGCCGGCGGTGCCGAGGGGGTGGAAGATGAGTGAGTTGTTGCCGTATTATAGTCCGGCGATGACGGGCGGTGGGGTCAGTGAGAATTTCTTGAAGGATATGATGAAGGAGATGGGACCTGGTGGGATGCCGGGCATGCCGGGGATGCCAGGAGGAGCGGGAGCAGGAGCGGGAGCAGGTGGGATGCCGGATATGGCGAGCTTGTTGCAGGGGATGGGAGGGATGGGAGGATTGGGTGGGTTGGCGAATATGTTGGGGGGGATGGGTGGGATGGGAGGTAGTGGTGCGACGAGTCCGGGGGCGAGTGGAAGTGAGGCGGCGGGGAAGAAGAAGGGGAAGGGAAAGAAATAGGGTGCTAGGGGTGGGAGGACGTGAGAGGGATTGAGAGGGATGGTCATGACTGAGAAAGATTCAACCTGCCAGCAAGCCTTTTTCCCGCTTTGCCGTATAACATAATGAACAACAAACAGCGTAGACCGCAGAAAGCAGTTTACCAAAACGATAATACCATGTACTTTTTACGAAGCCCCGTGGCCAGCTCGTCCGAAACAACATAAATGAGACCAGCTAACAGGTTAGGTAAACCAGTCCGCTACCGCTCGTCAAGGTTTTTTTTATTTTTATTTTTTTTTCTTATTTTTTTAGAGAGGTAGAGGTATATGATAAGAAGGATCATGATGCTCTTGTTACCCCAGATTTTTTAAGTTTTCGTTTTTGTTTACTCGAAACGGGTCTGCTCTCACGTGGCTTTTTTCGGCTTCTGTGTTTGCAATAACTTCACAGTTACCTGTTACTTTTTTTCGTCGAACTTTAGGGTAATAGTCGGGGAGCCTGAACTACAATAATCCAACACTTCCTGGTTCTTGTTTAAGCACAATGGGCGACGGTAAGTCCCGCCAAAAACCAGCTCCTCTCATCCTCGATCCTCGTGGGATTTTGCTTTCGTACATCTTGACTAACTTATGCGCCTAGTTCATCACAGCCATCCGCCCACGAATGAATTTAGTCTCTACCACGCCACTCTGCCTTCAAGAGCTGATTATCTGAAGGAATCATCTGTAGTATCCGAGACCGAGATTCACCTCAAAGACAACGCGGCGGCGATTCCCCGGACTCTTTTCCCCTCAGAAGCTGAGACCCTCTCTTACGAGCAGCAGCATAAGGTCGTCTTACAGGTAACCAAACGTGGAAGCCTTGAACTCAGCATCGACCACCATGCTGCACAGAAAGATCAACTAGAACCTATTCAAAACCAAAACCAAGACCAAAACCAAGACCGAGACCAAGACCATCTCACCCTCCTCACCTCGCTCAACAAACAAACCACCTCCCTACTTCAGATATACTCTCAGTCCCAATCAAAAAGCGAAGAAGGAGGAGATACCAACGTCTTGGAACAAGCGGTTGTGCTGGGGCAGGTAGCTCTAGTCCTAGCTTCTTCGCTTATCGCTGTATCCGCGACGTCTGGAGATGATAGGGTTGTGTGTCGTTTGGATCTTCATTCCAAGGCCCGGGTAGAGATAAAGGTAGAGGTACAGACACAGGTTCAGAGAGAGGTGGTGGTGGCATTGGCGAATATGGGCGTGGCGCTTGTAAAGCAGTTTGATAGGACGGGGGATAGGAGGGATTTGGAGGAGGCCGGGTGGATTCATGCCAGGGATGGAGGTTATAGCAGGGAGAGGGAGGTAAGGATTGAGAGCAGGGGGAGATAAAGGGAGTTGGTAAGGAGAATTGCAAGTGGGAGGTGGGTGGATGAGAGGATGAAGATGAAGAGGGGGATGGGGGTAGTGAGGTTCTGGTGCTGTTGGAAAAGCTGGAAGAGTGGCTGGGAGAGCGAGTGTTTGTGGTATAAATGTGAGTAGTTGCAGAACAATGAGATGGAGAGAAAGGCAGAGATTTTGTTGTCCTGAATACCGATTGGATATTGGAAATGCGTTGAGATAACTGATCAAAGTAATGGGGTGGTTTTGAAGATTTATGCAGTAGGTACCTCTAGGCTGAGTGGTGATGGACAGGGACAGACTGACTGATGGTTGACCAATGATTGGTAATGCGCATACTCGGGCCGTCGAAGCAGGAATTGACCCAGGAAGAGATAAGCACAGGGAAGGAGCTGTATCAAGAATTCCGAAGTATGACTGGCAAGAGCTGCCCGCCAGCTGCGGACGAGCACCACCATTGGTCTAGATGGCACGTCAGTACGTAGTTGCCTTGATTGTTCTGATCTGCTTCTCGTAGCCACATCTTGCCCAACCCCAGCTCGATCCTTACGAAACTCTCAAGGCGACCTCTGCTGACAACACTGTCCAGACGCCCCCCAACAGAGATACCATCCAGACATCCGCGCAGTCCGCATCGAAAAACCCCCTCTAGCCCTAGAGACTCTCTGGAAGCCGTTTCTGGCAACAAAGCTTTGTCCAGTAAAACTGGTCTTGAGATTGACTCCCTCGGGGAGATTCTCCTACGATGATGTCAACCAGACCAACGCCCCCAGAGGATGAATCCTCGCGATATTCCAACACTGAGACTATTTTCATTTCCTCAAATTGCCCAACGGCCACGAAGCTCTGCGGTGTCTGCTCTAAAATCCCGGCCTGGTTCTGGACCTGGGAATTTGGGAAAGGAGCGGAGATTTCTGTCGAGCTACAGCCATTCAAGGAGATGCGAGCTGAAGCACAAAATGGCTGTGGTCTATGCAAACTTTTGTGCTCAGGGAGTTACCGTGCTGGATGGAACAAGGTTGTTATAAGTACCCTCTTTGGAACAGGCAAACTGGTGAAGAAGCGTACAATTGAGAACGTTGTCTACGGGATTTCATGCCAATTCGAGGAAGCTGAAGCCTCGCTAGGTGAAGTTTATCCAATTCCATCTTCATGGCGTAAGTCGCACATCCAAGCTGTTACATATTCAGGGCAATTGTTACCATGTTAACCTCTGTTGTCTGTTATGTAGGTGGCCGCTCCCTTGCCGCAGCAGATAAGAACTCAGATCTCATACTCATTCAGGACTGGATTACCAATTGCCAACTCAATCACACAAGCTGCAACAACGTCACAAAGGATTTCCTACCAACCAGGCTGCTGGATGTTGAGGCGTTCAACAACGGAAGATCGCCTAAGCTTGAAGACAACATCAAACTAGTCCGCTCTGCTTCGGACCAGATTCAAAAAGGACGATCCGCGCCCCGGTATATTACCTTGAGTCACTGCTGGGGACCGCCAGAGAAACATCTTTTTACCACCACACGGGCGAGCCTCTCTGTCAGAATGGAGAGAATCTCTTTTGCGGAACTCCCTAGAACATTTCAAGATGCAGTTGTTCTAACAAGAAAGTTAGGACAACGGTATCTTTGGATTGATTCTCTGTGTATAATCCAGGATGAAGAGAATGAATGGGCCCGGGAAGCTTCAACGATGGCGGATGTATATACGCAATCTTACTGCACGCTCGCCGCTCTCAGCTCTAAGGATAGTACAGCGGGGCTGCGCAAGAAGACTCAAACGGACCAGAGCATGTTAATCGATATCAGCGCGAATGATGGCCAAAACGAGCCGTTTAATGTACGTCTTGTATCCAGTCCAGACGCTTGGAACTCCGAATATGACGGCTTGTTTTCTCTAAGAAGGGCAAGTGAGAGTGGTAGTCCCCTCCAGTACCGTGCGTGGGCTCTTCAGGAGAAAGAACTCTCAACTAGAGTCATTCACTTTGGCTTTCGACAACAGCTCTGGGAGTGCTGTGAGCTCAAAGGAACTACGCAGCTGCCCTGGTATCATGCCATGGACATAATAGAGCGAGTACAGTCAAGCCAGGAGAAGGAATGGGCTAAAAGCCACCCGCAAGACCCCATCTTATTTCATAGGATGACTGCTAGTTGGCTCAGGTTATGCGAGGACTATTCTATTCGATCCTTGACCAAGGAGACCGACACGCTAATTGCTCTTTCTGGCATTGCGCAATCTTTCCAGAAATACTTTCCCAATGCCAAGTACATCGCCGGGATATGGACCTGCCATCTACCGCTAGCATTGCTTTGGAGATCATATCATATTCCCATAGGAAGGGACAGGACAGATTATATTGCCCCCAGTTGGTCCTGGGTTTCACCCGGCTACAGGATATGTTATGAGCAATTTCTATTCCCCGTGTTCCCACCCTTCCGGAGAATGACCAACAATACACCAGGTCTAGCGGACAGATGGTTGGACGAACTAGAGGTTGTGGGCATCAAAGGACAGCCCAAGCACGGCGATGACTATGGTGCTCTTAAAGAAGGTGCGGCTTTGGAGCTAAAGGGTGCTCTCCTCTTTGAGCTAGACCCTGATCTAGACTTTTCAAATTTTACCAAGTGCGACTGGATTGTATATTTTCGCAAGGATGGCGTGCCTGCTGGCGGCTTCTCTCCAAATGCTATCGGTCCAGTTGAGGGCAAATTGTTATGCCTAGGTATCTTCTGTCACACGAGTGAGGGGGTTACAGGTCTTATTCTCAGGGAAGACATTCACGATGGGAACTCGGTTTATAGCAGGGTAGGATATGTGGCTAAACTGGATCCTTCATTGTGGGACGGTTCAAAACGGCGCCAGATAACCCTGATCTGAGGAGGACTGCTAGACGTATCACTCTGCTAGATCGAGTATGTACCTTCTCCTTCGTCAACGTATCAGAATTATCACCATCCTCTGTCCTGAATGACGACAAGTTCTTCGTATCAACCGTTCAGAACAATGAAAACTTTAGTGAAGCCAATGGCCGCCCGTCGAGAAACATCCCGAGTTACAACATCCATACGACCTCTCATAACAAAGACATATCTACGAACCCATTGACAGCTTCAGCCGTAAGCACGAGACCTCTTTCTCACCTTTCTCAAGCATTTCTTAACCAGGCTCATACCTTTTATTCGACAAGGAAGACCTAAACGCCTTGCCAATATGCCAATTCAACTACTAATCATGTCGTTTCATTCGGTACAGGTGTATGTCAAAGTGTCTCTGTCGCCCATCCCGATGTTGGCAAGCCGTCATGAAGCAATGAAGATAGTGCAAAGATACAGATACCCTGGGAGTATGGAACTGTGACTTGCTATAGTGGCTGAAGAAAATTACGAGGAATACGTGGGGGAAAAAAGGATCATTAAACAAGGCGTGAAAGGGGAATTGAAGTGAGGAAGTTGCTGTTTGCTGGTTCAGAAATACTTGATGTCCACGGTATCAGGGTTGGAAAGGAAGGTGAAAATATTCACTTGTCTGGCGGTGCTTTGACGTGGAATAGAGATCTTCTAGGCAGGGATTCAGCAGTCTTCTTTGTTGCGAGTGATTCCGTCAAGAAAGATGGTGGAATTAGACGAGTTTGTTGACATCAAAAGGAGGCAGGGGCTGATGGTACGTACCTCTAGAGCACTCTACATTATCCTGACACTGTGATTGGATGCAGCTGCAGCCATGATTGCAGGAGCTCCTATCTGGCCCCGCTGCACTTGGTTCCTTGCTATCTTTATTTGCGCTGTCATGACGCTCTGCAGTGGGCTACTGACATGGTTCGTAGGGCATTAACCGCCAAAAGACAACAAATTCCAGCGCGCACTATCAAGCCCAGGGTCCATCACAACGACAGGGGCAGGGGCGCATCCCGTCACGACGACAACCACACCCAGACGCCGCCGACTGGGCATCGATCCACGTCCTTTCCTGTCCTACAAACACCACAACACCACAACACAACAACAAGACAACACCTCCCCAGCAATGCGCCCCAGCGGTGCTCGCAACCCAACAACATGTCCGAGCTAGGAGTAGCAGTAGGACAAAAGATCGAACTGGCCGATGGCTCCGGGAGGACCGCCTTTGTCCGCTATGTCGGCGAGACCGCTTTCGCGCCCGGCACCTGGGTCGGCATCGAGCTCGACGAGCCCTCGGGCAAGAATGACGGCAGCGTCCAGGGCGAGCGCTACTTCAACTGCGAGATGGGCTACGGCATGTTTGTGAGGCCGACCACTTTCAATGTCATTGCCCAGCCGCCGCCGCCGCCGCCGCCTTCGACCTTCAGAAGATCCGTCACCACCAGGCCCACGAGTCTCAACGCTTCCACTACCCGGAGGCCCGCCCCTGTGGACTCCGGTCTTGCAAAGAGGATGAGCTTGAATGCGCCGAGCCCTAGTCCGGGTCCGCGCCCAAGTCGTACCTCGAGCACGAGCATCACGAGGGTCAGTACAGTACTAGACAACACACAGCTTTTTCCCCGTTTGTTTGTTGCTTGGTGATCACTAGGTCACAGCTGACACGGAATTCCTCTCCAGTCTCCTACGAGGTCACCTACGAAACAGCTCGCCACAGCTTCGTCCAGCGGGAATCCTTCACGCAGCGGAACACCATCCACAACCACCAAGCCGGCCGGACCCACCACTCGAACACGCCCCTCTCTTAGTACGAGTCGACACTCGATGGGGCCACCGCTGACTCCAACTACGCGAACAACTAGGAAACCTTCCGTATCGTCTGTCGGTACCAGACCTTCGATAGGCGCCACAAGGGCGGTGGGCGGTAGGGCATCCATGTCCGCGAGGTCGTCTACAAACCGCCTCTCCGACCCCAGAGAATCGACTGGCTCGGTGTCTTCAGTAGGAAAGTCCGGTTTCAAGAGAGGTAGTGCCTCGCCTCGCAGTAGTGATGAAGACCTGTCGGCCTCTCCTGTGCCCGCTAGTCCTGTGCATCAGAAGACGGCCGCTCTGGAAAAGCTCACCGCCCCGGGTGCTGGAAATGGTGGTGGCGGAGCTTCACCCGGCGCAACTTCGCCGAACCTTAAAGCGACCACCATTACGCCAAGATCTTCCATTACGAATACTGCGACTATGAACAAGGAGATTGAAGATCTTAAGGCCAAGCTCAAGGTGTTGGAGAAGAAGCGCATGGAGGATCGCGAGAAGCTCAATAGTCTGGAAAAGGTCAAGGCGGAGCGCGACAAGTTTGAAAGAATTATTCAAACGTTGCAGATCAAGTATCAGCCACAACAGCAGGAAATCCAGGACCTGAAACGGCAATTGAAGGAAGCAGAAAACAGACTCTACAATGTCGAAGAGTTGCAGGCCGAGCATGACACAGCCATGGAGCTTGCCACCCTCGATCGTGAAATGGCCGAAGAGACAGCAGAGGTGCTCAAGGTAGAACTGGATGCCCTCAAGCAAAAGAATGAAGAGCTCGAGCTCGAAGTAGAAGTCCTCCGCGAGGAGAATTCGGAGTTCACTAATGGCATGTCACCCGAGGAACGGGCGAGCACTGGCTGGTTACAGATGGAGAGGAATAATGAACGTTTACGCGAGGCCCTGATTCGTCTTCGTGACATCACGCAGCAACAGGAGGAGGAGCTGAAAGATCAGATCAAAAGCATGGAGGAGGATCTACGGGAGTTCGAGACCATCAAGGAGCAACACACGACGGCCAAGGAGAAGTTGGCGCAGACTGAAGCGATCGTTGAGGACCTCAGAGAGCAGCTTAATAACGCTCTTGGGGCCGAGGAGATCATCGAGTCGCTGACTGAGCAGACCATGAACCAATCCGAGGAGATCAAGGAACTCAGGGCCGTCATTGATGACCTTGAAAGTCTCAAGGAGATCAATGATGAGCTTGAGATCAACCATGTTCAGAACGAAAAGGAGATGCAGGAGGAAATCGACCTGAAGGACTCCATCATCGCCGAGCAGTTCCGCCAGGCCAATCTGCAGAGGGAGAGCTTGGAGGATATGGAGTACACGCTTTCCAGATTCAGAGAGTTGGTTACGAGCCTGCAGAGCGATTTGGAGGATATGCGTGCTTCGCATGCTGTCACCGAGAACGAGTCTGAGCAGCTCAACAGCCGCTCGCGTGCCATGTTGGATCTCAACATGAAGCTTCAGATCTCGGCTTCCAAGGCTCAAGTCAAGACTATTGATCTCGAGTTGCGGCGCATGGAGGCCCAGGAGGCTGAGCAACATTTGGAAATTGTGAAGCTGTTCTTGCCTGATACTTACCAGTCTGATCGTGACTCTGTCCTGGCTCTGCTCAGGTTCAAGCGTCTGGCTTTCAAGGCCAACCTGTTGAACGGCTTCATCAAGGAGCGCGTCAATGGCCAACCGCACCCCGGCCATGAAGACGACATCTTTGACGGGTGTGACGCTATTGACAAGCTCACCTGGGTGTCGGCCATGTGCGACCGGTTCGTCAATGCCATTAGCCACTGCTCCCTGGAGCAATTTTCCAGGTACGAGGGTGCCTTGTATGAGCTGGAGCCTGTTGAGCGTGCCCTCAACGGCTGGATTGACGGCTTGAGGCGTGATGATCTGAAGGAGAAGCAATGTGCGGACGAACTCAAGCGCACCATTGCGCTCATGACCCATCTTGGCGAGGTCCACATCTCTAATGACCTTGAGAGCTTCGCCGATGATGTTCACATGAAGGCTTTGCTCATGCAGAGCCATCTCGAGTCTGCCGCTATCTCGGTCAACTCGCTCAAGGCCATGGTGCAGCGTGTTATCCCTCCCAGTGGTGAAGATGACGAGCTCGCTCAGTACTTCTCCAAGCGTGCCGAAGCTGTTGTCTCCCAGACACGCAGCGCAAAGGTGATTGCCGGCAAGACCGTCCGCGCGCTCGAAGACCTCAAGACGCGTTCCCTCTCCCTCACTCCGGATACCCTCGAAGCCTTTGAGCAATCCGAAACCGCCACGCGCGACCTTGCCAATATGGCTCGCCAGATCGGCCTCGACCTGCACGCCTTCCTCCACGAAGAAGGCCGTACCGAGCCCTACAACTACATGGAAGTGCAATCTTGCATCCAGCGCTCGGCACAAGCCTCTTCCCCCACGGCTTCCTCGCCCGAGTCCGACCTCTTCAACACCTACCTCTCCTACCTGCGCAATGCCACCTCCACCATTTTTGACCTTGCCTCCTTGGCCTCCGACCTCGCCCAGACGCAGGAATTCGACCGCACACCGGCGCCCTGGATCCTGCGCTCTGCCGAGCTCAAGGCTGCCAAAACGGTTGCTCCCGATATCGACGACGAACTGCGTCGCTTGCGGGACGACATCGCGGAGGCGCGCCGCTCCATCGCCGTGCGCGAGGAGATGCTTTCCACAGCACAAGTCAAGATCGAGACGCTCGAATCCCGGATGCGCGACGCCAACGCCAAGGCCGCGCGCATCGTCGACTTGGAGTCCGACCTGCAAGCCGCCAAGAAGGAGGCCGCCCAACTGCAGGAGGACATGGAGAAGCAGGATCGCGAGCTCAAAGCCCTGGAGAGCGACAGAGACAAGTGGAAGAAGATTGCTTCCGAGTCGCGCGTCGTCGTGGCCGATGGTTCCGGCGTTGGCGTCGACAACAAAGCCAGTGCTGAGCGTGCTGTGGCCACGGCCCGCGAGATGGATGCTCTCAAGAAGGAAATCGAAGCCCTGCAGGCTGCTGTGCGTTACCTCCGTGAAGACTCACGCAGGGCGAGACTCAAGGAGCAGGGTGACTACGAATGGCTTGCCGAGCCGCTGGTCAAGAAGAAGCCATCGGTGCAGGAACAGCGGAAGCAGCTCGTCAAGAAGGAAGGAAAGGCCGTGCTTGGGGAGCTGGTCAAGCTTGTTAGCGGCGCCAAGGTGTTTGATTTGGGTAGTCTGCCGGAGAAGGCGGAGGATAGACTCAAGTGGAGGCCGGCGAAGACGACGCCCGGGTGGTGGGTGGCGAAGCAAATGGAGGATTGGGAGGCGTTGAAGGAGTGGGAAGGAAGTGTGAAGGGACGGGTTAGGGAGTTGGGTGGTGCATCGGGAAGTAAGAAGGCGGAGAGAGAGGAGGAGGCCAAGAGGATGGTGAGGAGGACGGCGGCGGCCAAGTTGCAGATTAGGTTGCCGGGGATGGAGAGCAAGGTTGGACATGGTGGTGGTGGTGGTGGGAGGAGGGTACAGATTGTGGGGAGTAGGGAGTGGGAGAGTTTGCAGGGGAGGCTGGCGGTTGTTGTTTGATGATGGGAAGTGAGAAAGCAAGCGAGCTTTGATGATGAATATGCTTATTACTACATTGTTTATGAACGAAGTTAACGTTGTCATGATGGTCACAAGTTATCAGTATTAGAAAGAGAAAGGAAAAGTTGGCGTGGGAGTGCTGGTATAGATTTCTCCCAAAGAAAAGTGTTTCTCAACCATCCCAATACGTTTACAGGAGCTCTGTATCAAACATTTCTGTTGCCTGTGATGCCGTTGTTGACCCACGAAACACAGGAAAGGGGCAAGGGGAGGAGTCTCACCGGAGACTTGGCTGAAGTTGAAAAAGTTCACCTTGGTAGTGTACACCGAGAGGCGAGCTTCGGTGCACGAGCCACCATGCTTTTCGGCAGTGCTAGCGCGATTGACCATTGGCGGCGCGTCTCTTTGGCGAACCTGCCCGCTGTGTGGAATTTTGAAGCTTCTGGAGCTTCTCGAAAGCCTCCCACCTGCTGTTATTGTTTTGCACCAGAGCTATACCTAAACACTAACACTTTCAGCGGCTCGTTTCGATAACATTCGTGCCGTCACTTTCTCCAAACCAAAACTTCCCAAACTTCAACAACCAGACCAGCCCAGTCCCAGTTCTTTGCTTGACAACACCGAATACCGTCACCGATTACGACACGACAATTTCGATTCCCTCCTTCCGAACCGACTTACAAGACCAAACACCCACCAAAAGAAACCGAACGAGCGCAGACATGGTGCAAATCAGCGAGGTCAAGGGCAACAGCCGCGACAATCGCACGGCCGCCCACACCCACATCAAGGGCCTCGGCCTCAACTCCCAGGGAATCGCAGAGAAGCAGGCCTCGGGCTTCGTTGGCCAGACCACGGCGCGTGAGGCATGCGGTGTCGTCGTCGACCTCATCAAGGCACACAAGATGGCCGGCCGGGGCGTCCTGCTAGCAGGCGGGCCCGGCACCGGCAAGACGGCGCTCGCGCTCGCCATCAGCCAGGAACTCGGCACCAAGATTCCCTTTTGCCCCATCACGGGCAGCGAAATCTACTCGACCGAAGTCAAGAAGACCGAGGTGCTCATGGAGAATTTCCGGCGCGCCATCGGCCTCAAAGTGCGCGAGACCAAGGAGGTGTACGAGGGCGAGGTGACGGAGCTGACGCCCGAGGAGGCCGAGAACCCGCTCGGCGGCTACGGCAAGACCATCACCACGCTGCTGATTGGGCTCAAGAGCGCAAAGGGCCAGAAGAAGCTGCGTCTGGACCCGAGCATCTACGAGGCTATCCAGAAGGAGCGGGTCACGGTCGGCGACGTCATTTACATTGAGGCCAACACGGGCGCCTGCAAGCGCGTCGGCCGCTCCGATGCCTACGCTACCGAGTTCGACCTCGAGGCGGAGGAGTACGTGCCTATCCCCAAGGGCGAGGTGCACAAGAAGAAGGAGATTGTGCAGGATGTGTCGCTGCATGATCTCGATGTCGCCAATGCCCGTCCCCAGGGCGGTCAGGATATCATGTCCATGATGGGCCAGCTGATGAAGCCCAAGATGACGGAGATCACGGACAAGTTGCGTTCGGAGATCAACAAGGTGGTCAGCAAGTACATTGACCAGGGTGTGGCCGAGCTGGTTCCTGGCGTGCTGTTTATTGACGAGGTATGTTTGTTTGTTTGCTTGCGGGCTGAAACAATCACCATTTTTTGTTGTTCCCTGGGCTAACAAAGAGAACTAACTGCGCTTGACAGGCCCACATGCTGGACGTAGAGTGCTTCACCTACCTGAACAAAGCGCTCGAGTCGCCCATCTCCCCCATTGTCGTGCTGGCTTCCAACCGGGGCATGACCGGCATCCGCGGTGCCGAGGATCTCGTTGCCGCCCACGGCATCCCGCCCGACTTCCTCAGTCGTCTGCTCATCATCCCCACCACCGCCTACGACCCGGAGGAGATCAAGAGGATCGTCAAGATCCGCTCGACAACCGAGGGCGTCAAGATCACAGAGGCTGCTATTGACCAGATTGCGGAGCACGGTGTGCGCATTTCGCTTAGATACTGTCTCCAGCTGTTGACTCCTGCGAGGTACGTTGTTGTCTTCCATTGAAGAGTGTTTGCGGTGATGAAACAAGTCCAATGTCACATGTAATATGTATAACTGACACATACACATTTACGCAAAACAGCATTCTGGCCAAGGTCAATGGTCGCAACGAGATCGACGTCCAGGATGTCGCCGAGTGCGAGGACCTCTTCCTTGATGCTCGTCGCAGCGCCGCCCTACTAAGCAGCGAGCAGGGTCAGGAGTTTATTTGTTGATCATCAGCTGTTGTTGTTGTTTTCTGGTAGTGTTCGTTACGTCAACTCGTCGTATCTCACAAGAAGCAATTTGATAGATGAGCACGGCAGGGGTGTGTTGTTTAAACAGGTCGGTTTGGCGGGGTTTAAAAAGAGAGATACTTTTTTTTTTCTGCGTTTCATGGGTTATCAATGGAGTCGGCGCATATTACTGTGGTTTTTCTTGTATCTGTTATTTTTTTTATGTTGCATGTTTCATGATAAATCCTAATGTCATCAGGAACACACAGCTCGGGGTTGTTGTGGTCGGTTGTCGTTTGCGGTTTTGTTTCACTTTTTTTCCCCTCGACATACCCTAGTTCTGGAAATACTGGGACGCAGGCAGATGGAGAAATAGGAAAAACCAAAACCAGTCATCCATTTTTCTTTTTCTGTTCCTTATTCCCCCCTGTTCCGTCTTCTCCTCCTGCTTATATCCTTGCTCAATCTCCATTATCTCACAGTTCGGCATTTGGAAGTGGATGGATGGAGGCACAATTCACAAGGGAGAAGAAGAACAATCAAGAGGCACAGCACCCCCTTCCAACAACAAACAATGCGAATTGAGGCAAAAGGGAGCGCGGAATGCGGCAAGACAATTGGGGATGGGAATGGGTCTAGGGAGGAAATGCGAAATGCTAGACCAAATTCGGCGGCGGCGGCGGCGGCGGCGGCACGGAACATGGTCCTTTGTGCCCTTTGTTCTCTCCTACTATCTGGTTCTCAGAGCATTCCAGTTGCCTTTTCCGAGCGGCGGTTGGCCCGCATTCCTTTGATGCCGCCCGTGGTTTCTGCCCGTGGTTTTGCCCTTGATTTCGATAGCCCGGTCCAGTCGATGGGCAACCGCAACGCAATGGTTGCGATATAATAGGTGGCATTGTTTAAGCAAGCATCGATTGCAGATGCGGCGCCTGGGATTGATTTTGATGTTTGAAAGGGGGGGGGCTGCTGGCGTCTGGTTCACTGAATAGCTGGATAGCTGGTCTATTGTACGAAGCATGTCATTCCTTCCTGTCTATAGCTGCATTGTCTTCTGTTGCGAAACGGGGACTGCACTGGGTTTGGTGTGTGTGTGTGTGTATGTCTTTTTCCTACCATGGTCCTTGTTTTCCACTTCCACTCCCACTTCCACCTTTTTTTTTTCTCAGTCATTGTCATTTGTTCAGAACCACCAGGTCCAAAACTGACTGCGAACGGAATGATTTTTGTAGCAGCGGTGGTTGCAAACGCTGGACAAAGAATTTTTTCAACATGTCCTTTGGGTCCGCTCGGTACATTCCCGAGACATTTCCAAGTCCCCAACATTTTCACAACTCACGGTGTCCTTGGTTATCATTTCTCTTGGCCATCAACCCGTTCCGTTTCAATTATTCGATTCGGTATCTGATTACCTCCGCACTCTGCTCCGAATTCGCCTCCGGTATGGTAGTGGTTCTGCGGTACTGCTGGCCCCTTCCATTTCCAATTTCTCAGTCCCAAATGTTGACCAAGTTGGATCAATACACTTTGACTTTTCAGTTCATATACTGTCTAATCGAAGGAATCGGGAATATGACCCAATACGCATAGCAAGGGATCATTGTTTTCCAACCTGGTAACCCGACGATACGGTGATGGCGTGTCTTGTCTTGTCTTGTCTGTCCGGATGTATGGAGGGGTCTATGTCGCAACAAAGGAAAGTTGACGGAACAATCCAAACAAGACCTAACCATGATCGTCTTCCCCTTCCCTTCCCTTCCCTTCCCTTTTCCTTCCTCTGTTGGTCGTTGTGGAGTCTTCCTGGGTCCCTACCCTATGCATTTTTTTCCCCGGCTTTCTCTTTCTTCTGTGCCCCTCGTTTTTGCCTTGCCTTGCGTTTTGTCTTGTTCCGGATTCGCGAAGTGGTGGCCATTATCAACCAACAACCCAAGCAAGATACCACACCCACAGACAACCACACACAACCACATACCACGTTCTCGGGTTCTTGTTTTGGACCTTGTCTCTTGTCTCTCCCCTCCCCTCCCCCTCTCCCCCATTGTTATCCTCCCCCTCTATGTCTTCCTTGCAGTTTTACACTTTGCCATTATTCTTCCGTCTACTTGTTCTGTGAAGCTTCCTTCCTTCGGTTTGTCCTACCTCCCACTCACCATCATTTCCCCCTTCCCTTCCTACCTCCTTCTCCTGTGTCTGTCGGTACATACATTTTGACGACCAACATCTAGAGCGGAACGGGAAGAGAGAGACTGGATTGGACTGGAACGGACCGGGTTACCATACCTTCTCACCTGTCAACTGTCGTCAGCACTGCTTGCGTACACTAACTTTTTGTTTCTCCCCTCGTCGTCGTTTGTGAGCAGCGGACGGGTTAACTTGTACAGCACAGACTTGCAGACGGGCTCGTTTTCTTTCTCTTGTTCGCCCCCCTCCATCCTCTCGCCTGCCGACAGCCAGGTCGTCGTCTCTGTCTCCAAACGATTGGTTCTGACGCCGTTGGAGCCGTCTGTCCGTTGGGAACTGTTCGTTGGAGTGGGACTCCACATTTGGGACGGGTACTCGCCCCCCTCCCCTTCCCCCTTTTGTGTTTTCTCTCACATCTTGAGTCGGGAAGGAGGAAGAACAGAGAAGTTGAGAAGTGACAACCAGAGAAAAACAAAAAGGGAAAGACAGGGAACAGATAATAAAGCAAAAGGAGGGGGAAGAAGAATTAGATTGACTGGACACACGGAACAAGAGAGAGACATTTCTTATCCACTCACCACAACAGGAGGCGCCAACCAACGGATCAAAAAAAAAGACAGAAAAAAGAGAGGGGGCACGAGTAACGAACGAACGACTGGATCCCCGGGCACTGAGGCTGGGTGAAGAAATAATGACAGACGTCGGCGGTGGTCTTGGACTCGTCACTTCTTCTTCTTCTCCTACCACTACTACTGCTGCTACTCACACTCATTCGTCTCATATGCAGAGTCAGACGCAGACCCAGAACAAGTGGCAACAAAAGAACCAGACACATACACAGACACACTCGCTTAGAGACACCAGCACTCGTCGTTCTACATCAGCATCATTGTCTACTTCCACTTCCAAGTCAACAACAACGAAACCTGCCACCACGACGACAACCACAAAAGGACGAATCACTCGCTCTGCAGCAGCTGCTGCAGCCGTCGCCGCCGCCGCTGTTTCCTCCAAAGCAGGTGAGGCATCCGAAGCCAGAAAAGCAGCTGGAGATAAGGAGAAAGACGAAGAAAAGGCGGGACCACCACCAAGACAGAAGAAACCGAGCAACAACAACAGCAACGACAAGATGTCATCGACGATGACTACCACCGGTGGTCTGACCAACACTGCCAATGCTGCCACCTCCTCGTCCTCCTCAAACTCTTCAAGTAGTCGACACTCGTCAAATACCACCTCGCCCACTTCACCTCAAGCTGTTGCTCAGCATACCTCTACTCATTCCCATTCCCATTCACATTCGCATGCCCATGGACATTCACATTACTCCCACCAGCAGCAGCAACAGCAACAATACAACACCCGCTCTCATCCTCATCCTACCTCATACACAACAGACCCCGCCCTAGCTGTCCAACACAACCTTTCCACTTCCTCTCTTCCTTCCACAGACATAGATACCTCCCGCCAACAACCCCAAACACAAGAAGACAGGATAAGAGGTCCCTTAACTCGCAAACGAGCAGCAACTCTCATCACAACAGACCTAGCGTTACCCACACCCTCACCACAAAAACAGCGATTGACTATAGACCCGGGCGCCGCTCGCTCCGGAGGTACAAAAGTAGAACAACACCCGGCACCAGCATCAGCATCAGCACCAGCACCAGCACCAAGAAGTGCCGCTGCCGCTGCCGGTGGTAGTGGTGGTGATGCGAAAGAACCCGGTGGTAGTGGTAGCGCCAGCCCGCAAGGAACAGGAACAAGAGCAGGAGCGGGAGCGGGAGGGGCAGGATCAGCGACTACAGAGCTGGATAACTATTCGGCGGGTTCATCGGTGGGAGGCTCGGTGGGAGGTGGTGGTGGTGGGCAAGCTGGGCAGGGCGGATACGGAGGAGGGGGAGGTGGGGGAGGAGGAGTGCAGAGGGATTTAATCTGTTTGTGTACGCCTGCGCCGAAGGTTCCTAGGCCTAGGAATGGTGAGTTCTTTTCTGTCTCTTATTCTTGTCTTTTTTTCCTTCCTTCCTGTTCTCATCTCTTCTTTATTTTCCTTTTTTCTTGGTTTTCTTTTTTTTCCCCCATTAATTATCAATTTTAATTTCTTCTCTTTCCATTGCGCACCACCGTAGAAACACACCAAACTTCATTCCCTCTACTCCATAAACACCCCAGCCCCCCTTTCCCCCCTTCACCCCCTTGTATATCAACCCCAACTAACATCCCCCCCTCCCCCCAAAAAAACAGCATTCATCCTCTACCGCCAACACCACCAAGCCCGCGTCGTCGCCGACCACCCGGGCCTCGCCAACCCGGAAATCTCCAAAATCATCGGCGAGAAATGGCGCGCCGAATCCGACCTGCACAAAGAAGAATGGAAGCAGCTCGCCGAGGAAGAAAAGTTGCATCACCAGCGAAAATACCCCGAGTACAAGTACCAGCCTAGAAGAGGGAATAAGCATACCTCTACTTCCTCTATTGTTGTTGGTGTTGGTGCTGGTGGGGGGACAGGGAGTAATAGGGGTAGTCCTACGACTCCTGGTGGTCCTGGGGGTATTGGTGGGATTGGGGGAAGTGGGGGGATAGGAGGAGGAGGAGGGCAAGAACATCCGGGTAGATGCCCCAATTGTGGAGGGAGGTATATCGCTACGCCTAGGACGCCTTCGACGCCGTTTACGGCGGGGAGTGCGAAAAGCGTGATGCACGGGGGTGAGGGACGGACTAGTGGAGGTGGTGGACAGTCGGGGATGGATACCCCGAGAGGAAGTATCGAGCATGCTTCGTCGTCGTCGGCTCGCGGGCAACACTATGGTCAGCAACATGGAGGAGGGTACTACAGAGACCACCATCGAGCGTCTGTATCCTCGCAAGGAGGCGGATACCAAGCTTACCCGAGCAGAGATTACCACCACAGTCAGACGTACCATTACCCGACAGCTTCGCATCATCAGCCATATCCTGCCCATCCGCTGTATGATATGCCGCAGGAGTATGATGTTGCTACACCTACTGGCACTAGCTCTAGCTCCAAGCGCAGACGGTATGATTCAACTTCGATGCCGTATCGCCCTGAAAGGGAATATGCGCTTCCTTCGCCGACTACCCTATACGGAAGTAGCAGTCGACATCCCAGTGTAGGCGGTCAATACGCTGTCCGCCCACCGTCTCATTATCATCAACAAAACCCAATGTCTCCGACACCGCTAGGACTTGGACACAGTTATGGCCATGGACAAGTCCCGTTACATATTTACCCCGCCCCTCCACCTCCTACACCCTCTGGAACCATTGGTAGTGGTGGTGGTGGCGGCGGAACTGGAAGTCTCCCACCCACACCGGGCTTCGCTCCCGCACCAGCTGGACCACCGACTTCCACCGCTGCACTTTCCGGTCCTGCATCGATTGCACCTTCAGGACGCGGACGGAGTCCACTGTCGAATACTATGGCGCCGCCTCCTCGGCCTCCTAAACTCTCTGTTCCTGGTTCAAGTGGCAGCTACCATCATGGTCAACAACACTCAGCGTCCGGTCGTTCTCGCTCTGGCCTCAGCCCACTACGCACGAGAGGTGATGAATCCGTGTTTGACCCATCCCTGCGTTTACCGCCGTTACAGACGCACTTGGCTCATTTGCCGCCTACTTCTCCTGAATCTGGATCTGGCTCCTCAGGAACTGGTGCCGGTCCAGGCATCATTTCCGCTGCTGGCGGTGGCGGCGGTATAGGACTTGGGATAACTTACCCCAGCGATCCTCGCGATCCTAGATCTGCTACTTCATCGTCCCCGTACCCGCGATTGACGGGACATGGTACAGCAGGGAACACGCCCACTGCTGGTTCTTTCCCCGCGAGTTATCATCAGGGCGCTCAGCCTCATCCTACACTCCAACAGCCACCCACCTCGGTTCATCCCTCATGGGCAACACTCCATCACCAAGGACAAAAGGAACAGCAACAGGTTGCGCGGGGTGACCCATCCCCCGTTGCAGCAGTAAGGGACAACATCAGGGAACCTACCACGGCTACCACACAACACTATTCTCACAGTTCAGACCCCAACACTACCAATAGCAGCACCAACAGCAAAAGGCAACTCGCTCTCCTAGAAGCCCAACAGCGCCAGCAATCAGTAGAAGCAATGGTTATGAGCATCGACTACGTCCGCAAGGCGTCGGTCCTTCGGTGGATAGGGCGAGAACTACCCGCTTACGGTGCCGTAGCTGACAACATTGACAATATGTCTGAGACCGGGGATGATACTCAGGAGCAGCAGCAGATAGTAACAACGAGAGGGCCGATCATTGCTGTTGAGGGACCAAACAAGGAGTTGTTGCGAGTGGTTGGCAAGGCAGTAGAGAGGGCCTTGATAGAGCTGGGGGATTGTGAGGTCCGAGCCTGGGTTGGCGAGGGTGATGTTTGGCATAGTGACGAGGCGCGTGAGAAAGGGACGACGAGTGAGAAAGAGAAAGAAAACAAAGGTGGTGGTGATGTCGAAATGGGTGATACCGTCATCGTACGCGGTTCATCACCCAAATCCAACAACAACGGGCAAGACCGCGTGTCTTCCCACTCACCGCCGAGCGGAATTGTCACCCCCATACCGTCCACAAACCCAAACCCCTTCCCCCGCTACCTCGACCTCATGCTCTCTTGGCACCTCAAAGCCTCGGAACTGACCAAATTCGTTACCACCCCTTATTTCTCTCCCTCCTCATCCTCTTCCTCCTATCCTTCCCGCTTTTCATCACCCTCCCACTCACCCTCCTCTACCAGCCAAAACCTCCCCAAACTGCCCATCGCCCTCCTCCCCCTCGGCTACTCCCTTACCTACTCGGACCGCTTCGCCTGCACCATCCCCATCGCCGACGCGTACGCGCCCGTAGATCACTGGCAATGGATGGCCACTCTCTGGCGAGGCATCGTAGGGCCAGATCTGACAGTGTATGTGAAGCCGGTAACAGAGGAAAACACGGCGGTGGAGGGATGGGCGCCCGTTGGTGTGGAAGTGAAAGGGGAGAGGTTGATTGTTGTTCGGGTTGTTGTTCCGTCTGGATGGGGTGGACAGAAGGAGGCAGTGGCAGAGTTGGGCAGTGAGGCGGAGAAACAGTTGGCGTATGAGGTTGGGGAATGGGTTAGGGCGGGAGCGTTTGGGGTGCAGGGAAGGGGAGGGGTGGCGAGGGGGGAGAGGGAGAGGGATCTAGTGCCGCAGGGAGGGTATGAATATGGAAGGGGGCATGGGTATGGTGGTGAGGGTTGGTGATAAACATGAAGATGAGAAAACGAAAAGGAAGGGGGAAGTGAAAGGGTTTGGATGGCTAGAGGTATGAGTGGTGAGGATATCCAAGCGAGTTGTGAAGCTGTTGGATAGATAGACGGACTTGGTAGACTTTTGGCCATCGACCGGCTTTGAACTGGAAAATAAAGTAAGCCATCAAAACGAAAGTCTCTCGGGACCTTTGAATTACCCGACTTTGGTTTAATAGCGGCTTTTGTCGTCGAGTGTCTTGCGAGTGTCTTTGGTATGGAAGGCGCCAATCAATTGCTCGCCGGGCGCGTGTGCAGAGCACTGGTAATGATGGTTAGGTTTTTGTGTGCCTAACAAGTTTGTCGCTATCTGTCGGCAAATTATGTTAGTGTAGCATGCGCTGTATGACAGGCTGCACTCCAACGTCTGTTCACCTACGGTGTGTCACTAACCTTGCGACCCCTCACTTCCTGCAAACACGACGATGAGATCGAAGAAAACGGACAAAATTCTGAGCTCAACCATCCAACGGCGGGAGGTCAATCAAGACTGTTTGGTACCAACAGGAACGTTGTTGGTTGTTGTATCTTTGACAACAAAGACAGGCAGCGGCTTATAAGATACACCCGTGACCCGCGCGAACCTGAAAGCTTGATCAGCACCGCCCAATGAAGACATCCGACCCATCTCATGATTCTCACTAATCATCAAGCCATCACCCTCAATTCTCACTGCGGCCCTCTGTTCGACAAAAATCATGTCCTCCCAAGACCCAAAACCGAAAAAGAACCTTATAATTGATACCGACCTCTTCAGTGACGTCGAGTAAGTTTCTCACTTCCCTTCCTCAACACTCATTCCCCGCTCTCCCCACTCCCCCCAGAAGCTGACAAACAAAGCGACGCCGGCGCCCTCCTCTTGGCATCCACCTCCCCCGACATCAACCTCCTTGGTGTTCTGGTCAATAAACCCTCCACCTACTCTGTCCTCGCCGCCTCCGCTATTGTCTCATACTACACCCGTTCTCAAAGTAAAGCCGTCCCCATCGGCGTGTTCCGCCACCCAACAAGCGATGGCACTGTAATCCCCCTTCCTGACACCACCTTTCTCGACGTGGTGTACTGGCACCTAGGGGAATTTGCTTCCAAAATCGCCTACCAGTTCGGCTCCCCTTCTTCGCCCGACTATGTCAAAAAACCTAAGGGACCAAGCATACCATGGGGACAGGCCGAAGACGCCTGGGACGCAGTTCAACTTTATCGAAAGCTGCTCAGCGAAGCGGACGATGAGAGCGTAACTATTGCTTCGATAGGATTTCTTGATAACCTGTCACTTCTCCTCGACTCAAAACCTGATTCTCTTTCTCCATTGACTGGGCGCCAGTTAATATCGCAGAAGGTGGCAGAGCTGGTGGTCATGGGGGGTCGATACCCAGAGGGAAGAAGTTGGAATTTCTTTGGTTCTGATCCCGACTCGCCTCATTACAATGGTGGACGCGGACTGGGATTGGGACCTAAGGGGACGGCGAATGTGATCAATAATTGGCCAACACTTGAAAAGGATGGGTGGAAAGGGAGGGTGGTGTACGTCAGTGATGAAGTTGGCGGGAACGTCCTAACGGGCGGGGAGTTGGTGAAGAAGGGGCCGAAGGGGGATCCGGTCGGTCGCGCTTATGGGTATTATGCTTATGGCGGGGCGAGACCGAGTTGGGATCCGGTGGCGGTGTTGTATGCCATTGATGGATTGGGGGAGCTGTTCAAGTATGATGAGCGATACGGACATGGAAGGAACTGGGTGGATGACCAAGATGGATCAAATAGGTGGATTTTGGAAGTGGAGACGAAGAATCAGTTTGTGCTGGCGTTGAAGGCAGATCATGAGACGGTGGCGAGGAAGATTGATCGCTTGTTTCTCGAGGGAGCGTTGAGCGCGGTCACGGAAAGGGCTGGCCCGTGACCTACTGTATCGAGAAGACGGGCAGGTCCCAAGTTCTGAGGTCAGCCACTTGGAAATCACCACTGCACTCGATCGAACCTGGTGCTTCCCCGTTTCCCCCGTAATAAGTGAAGCAAGGAGATGAAGAGGTTGAAAGGAAGAAGATGACTACGGCGGGGGAAAGCGAAGATATACATCAGCGTTGATTCATTCTTAGCATCATACCATAATGATGATTACACCGAGGTTTTAATCATAGTGTATTCAAAGTTTACCTAGTACTAGTAGAATGACTGAGCTATATTATACACGGCCCGAAGAGTTCCCGATACGACTTCACACATGCAACCACACACGCACAGGCAAAAGCCTCAAGATAATAAAGGGTGAAGAACGTAGACGAACACATACACGCACACGCAAAAAGCCGATAATAAATTAAAAAAAGGGGTAGATTGGGTACGTCTGGACATCATTCATCCTTCAAGTATGTCAGTTCTAATTTCGACCACAAGCCAAACGCGTTTCTTTTTCTTCTTCTTAAAGTGTATAATATAGAGCTTAGTTGACTTGCCGCATCGTCCCTAATGTCCTTATGCCATTTTTGACTTTGCGCACCCTATACTATATGAGCTGTCATAACTACAAGCCGTTTTCACGTGTAGAAATTCCTGTATTTTCATTGTTTCTGAACATCATAGTGCGCCAAGTTAAGTTAAAGAAAGAGGATTGAAATGATTCTGTGATACTACAGAGATATTATGAAGTGAATGTAGTTATTTGTAAGGTACGAGTGCTTTAACTTTCGGCTATTTAATTGAGTGTAGTCTAGAGGTATGTGGGGAGTGTAAGTGTAGTCGGGTTGGGGATCTGTGGTTGTGTAAGTAGCGATGCGCAGAAATGTGGCCTGGACTGTACGGGAGAATATCGTATATCAACATACATACAGTCGGATGTTATATGACATTTGACAGTGGGTTTTACCATACAAAACACGGGGTTTTACATAGGTATCAGCTGTTATCGGTTGGCTTGTGGGGAAAATAGAGTGCGTGAACTCAAATGGCTGGCTGGCTGGTGACAAGTGGAAAGGGGATAACCAGATGGATATCGATATGATACTGGATAAAATTTGTCTTTGTAATGTCTTCCTTCGGCTTCAACTGCTTCAACTGCTTCGGGCCTCAGTCAGTCCTTTCCGCCTTGCTGATAGCAATATAATTGATAGAGATACCTGTGACCCGAACGATGCATAAAGTGATCGCACCGATAGCCGCTCCAATTTAACTTCACCATAAACCTCACCCCCTTACCCATTCCCATTCCTTTTTTGTTTAAGATATGTACATTCAACCTCTTCTCTACCTTTTTCCCTTCGCCATCTCTCGTCTAGAACTAGACCCCGCCGTTACACTCGCCCTCCCCCTCTTCTTAGTAGTAGGAGTAGGGTTTCCCTCCGCCGCCGTCACATGCAGACTCTGGGTACGTTGCTGAAGTAAGCTCTACTTAACCTCATCCACCTTTGTCCTCGGCGGCTCATCGAGCCTCGTATACGCCTCCTGGATAGCTCTAACCTCAATCCCGTCCATCTCCAGCGCCACCAACCAATCTCTCAACTGGATATTCTTTCCTTGCTCACTACTCTCTCTCCACATGCCCAGTCGGTTCTTTTGGTTCTCCGACGTCAACTGCTGCGGTTTATTATCCGCTGCACCTGCCGCGCCGGCCTTGCCTGCGGGAGTGGAAAGGCCATCGCCGCCTAGAGATGTGCGGGGGGTGCTAGCTCCTGAACCACCGCCGCCGGCGCCACCGCCACCACCGCCTGCGCCGGCGTTCATCCATGAGTAGGACTTGCCTTTTTTGCGACCGAAGCCGCCCATGATGGCGTTGAGCGTCTGGTTAGCTGAGGCGGTGGACGAGGTCTCGGCGAGCTTGGCGGCTGCGGCGCCCCGCTTGAGTTCCTTCTTCGAGGGGAGCTTGCCGTCGGCGTCGGCGGTGGTGGGAGTGCCGGGGGCGACGGAGCCAGCTCGAGAGCCGGTGCCGCCCGTGGCGGTGTCGGGGTTTTGACGCTTTTGGCGCTTGCGGAGACGGGCTTCTTCGAGGTTGCGGTCGGCGCGAGCGGTGTCGCGCAGAGCGGTGGTGAGGTTGTGTTTGGTGAGGTTAGGGTCGTTGAGTTTGGCGGCGTCGTAGGAGCCTGGAGCACGGGTTAGTGATGTGTTGAATTACGGGAAAGGCAAGGGAGGACACATACGTTTCAGGGGGTTGGGCTGAGGACCGACGCCAGCAGCGGCGGCTTCCATGCCTTCTTGAAGGGCATCGTTAAGCCCCGTTTTCAAAGGCACGGCCACATCAGCCCACTCCGCAGGAACCTCTCCACGAGAAGTCGTCTGGCGGTTAATGGCAATGGTGTGCGCAGACTCGATGATCTGCCGGATGCGGTACTTTGTCGCAATCGACAGCAGAGCGATTTGGTCACTCAGATATGAATCAACTGGGATCCACGAGCTGGTGACGGTAACAAGAGCACCGCCTTCGCCCGTCTTTGTGCTCACCGTGACCTTGGGCTGCGTTTGCGCAGGGTCGTTGGCTGGCTTGCTCTTGTTAACTGCACTACCGCCCTTGAGCTCGCTGTTGAGCTCCAGACCGTACTCCTTGGCAATCTTTTGGGCCTTCCAGTGCAGCGGCGCCACTTCCAAGAAAGGCGTTCTCATCTCGTTTGCCCTCGTCAGGGCCAACCGATGGGCTGCTTCATCCCAAGCCTTCTTTGCCAGCTCCTTCTCAAACTCCTCTTGGCTTTTGCCATCCAGAGGTTGCGAGGCCTGATTGGCCCACCCGGCACCGTAAAAAGAAGCCTTACTTCCCGGTGGGTTTGCGGGAAGACCAGTCCTCGCATCCTGAGAGAAAGATCCGGCATAGTAGTCAGCTAATGCTTGCTCTTCAGCACGCAAATCGACACCAGTACCAGCCAAAGAGTCCGTGACGTCATATTCAGTTTCCTTCACCGGTCGCTCAACAGGCTTCTGAGGGGGACCCATAGCGCCACCGGCGGCGGGGGTTGTCGGAGCTGGTGGTGGTGGGCCGATAGGTGCCATGGTAGCGGTCGTATATTGCTGGTTCTGCGCATTCTGAGCGGCCTGGGCTCCCATGGCATGGACTGGCTGAGGAGTTGAGGGCCCATGGGTGGACAAATTAGGCGGAGCTAGTGATGGCGTTGCCAACCCAGGTGTCACTGGGCCAGGTGTTGTTGACGCGGGTTGGACTGGAGGCATGGATAGCCTACTCTCGGGCATCTGCAAGCCCGCGCCGTGTGAAAGAGTGGGACCTGGTCCGGGAGTTGTGGCCTGGGTCGGACCCGGGGAAGGCACAGCCAAGGGCGTGGATGGCTGAGAAACGGTTCCGTTGGTGAAGGACTGGTTATATTGCTGCAGACCTGGCGATTGTATCGTCGCAAACTTGGGACTAGCTGCTGGCGGCGTCGGGGCCGCGGCCGACTGAGGAGTAGTGGCGTAGTTCTGGGGAAGGTAAGGCGAGCCCGGCTGAGAGGCAGGACTTGCGCCGGTCTGTGGACGCTGCTGGTTCGGCGGTATCGAGAACTGCGCTTGAGTGGTGGGCGCCGGGGAGGGTGTGTGCTGGGGACGAGCAAACTGCGGTTGCTGGTGGACTGGCGGGCTAGGGTGTTGGATCTGAGGTTGCTGCAACTGGGCCTGGGGATGCTGGAGTTGTGGGTGATGTTGCTGTTGTTGCTGCTGCGGGACATGCTGCTGCTGAGGATGCTGGGGATGTTGTGGTTGTTGTTGAGCGTGTTGCTGGTGAGTTTGGGCTTGCTGGTGCCCTTGCTGATGGACCTGTTGCTGTACACGTTGCTGCGGCTGCTGTTGCTGTTGCTGTTGCGGCGGCGGCGGTTGGGTCTGCTGTTGGGTATGTTGTTGCAACTGTTGGGGAAGTTGGCGAGGCTGAACATGCTGCTGAGGTTGTTGGGCGCGTTGCTGCTGCTGTTGCTGAGCAAGGGCTTGGGCTTGTTGTTGAGCGAGCATCTGGGCACGTTGTTGCTGTTGTTGCTGGAGCTGGAACTGTTGCAACTGCGGCGACATTTGGGGTGGTTGCTGCTGTTGTAACTGAGGCTGCTGCTGTTGCAACTGAGGTTGTTGTTGTTGCAACTGGGGTTGTTGTTGTTGCAACTGGGGCATCTGAGGCTGTTGCGGTGGTTGCGCCATGGTGGATGGCGCCCTTGAGGTGGACAGATGGCACAGGCGCAAACAATGAAGTCGAGATGTACGAAGGGTCGATGGCGTGGGTCAAGGTCGTCGTGGGTGAAAAGCAGCTAGTCCTTGTCCTCCAGCTGACGGCGAGGCTGAGCTCCCAACTGATCAATTCCTCAAGTTCCCGTCACCGTAAACCCAAGTGGAAGCAGGCGAACCTGCGCTGCCACTCTAGCTACGCCGTGTCTCTCCTTCCATACGCCGGTCGCTGCTCGTATCGATCGGTGTCCGAATCGGTCGATGTATTTCTCGCTCGTTGGAGTATCGTCGTGGTCGACAATTAACTGTCCTTTTGTTTCGCGGGAGTAATGGCGACGACGGTGGGAGGTTATGAATCGGATTGTTGGGTGAAGCACTGGAGGAGTGGTCCAGGTGGTCGGAGAAAGAATGACGAACAATAAAATCGAAAGAGGGCGGGACTCGCACACACCCGCGTCCAGAACCTCCCGCGAAGAACGACCAGTTGCTGCCCGCCGCTGCAGGTTGCTTGCTTGTTGCTAGCGGCGGCACGAGCTCCACTGAAGGGGTCGCGTCTGATGAGTGAACTACTTAGCCAGTCACGTGTAAGCTTGGCGCTAAATAATGGTGATGGGGCATCTGGCCGTTGACGTTGTGCGGCTGGCTTGGGATTAAAGATGGGACTTCCGGCAGGCAAATCAGCCGCCAGGCAACTTCAACCTCACTTCATTCAACAAGCACTTGCCATCTTCATCCAAAACGCATTCAACATCCATCAACGAAATCACATCAAGGGCGCCATCCATATTCACGGCGCGTACTAATCCGTAACATTCTGTCTTTCTTCTCACGTCGACTGATCCACGCCACCTCTCAACTGCCGTGCGTATTTCGCGTCTCAACTCGCATCGAAACCGCCACACTTTGCCAATCAAACAATCACAGTCAGCAGCTTGAAAGGTTCCAAGTATACAGGGCGACGGTGGGAAAGCAAGGTTCTACCCGTGGAGCGAACGAACCAAAAGAATACCTAAGTCATGGCTTCCAAGCGGAAGGCCTCGGCAATGGCGACGGAGCCAGAGGAGCCGGTCGACCCAGCGGATGAACTCATGTTCCTCAACCTCGGCGGAGGCAACGAAGTCGGCCGATCATGTCACATCATCCAGTACAAGGGCAAAACCGTTATGGTGCGCAAAATCAACCAAAATCAATCACTCCTCCCAATGAACATGGGCTGACCTATCCGTGGGTTGTTGTAGCTTGATGCTGGTCAACACCCAGCATATGATGGCCTAGCAGCCCTTCCTTTCTTTGATGACTTCGATCTCAGCACAGTAGATGTCCTCTTGATCAGCCAGTAAGCCCACCCCCCTTTCCCCCTTTTTTGCCATGGCCTACAATTATATGTATGCCCGTCTATCCGCGAGAGACAGTGCCGCAGTGTTTGGCTTGGGACAAGATGGGTTGATGATCGAGCTGGGCTCTGGATATTCGACATCGCCAGTGAGAGCCAGTGACTGACACGTTGCTCTATGTCTCTGTGGTTCTTGTCCACTTTGCAACCTTGTACTGTCCATCATATACATGTATTCAGGAAATGAAAATACAAGATACTTTGTCGCCATTGCCCGCCCCTCGCCTCCCTTTTCCCCCTCCCATCTTGTCTGCCACTCGCGCTGCATGTTCTCTGTGAAGCACTGTCCTCGCCCATAGTCGCCTACCTGGCCCAGACCTTAGCCGAGACTGACTGCCCACTCTCTAGTTTTCATATCGACCATGCCGCCTCGTTACCATATGTCTTGGCCAAGACCAACTTCCGAGGCCGTGTCTTCATGACACATGCCACCAAGGCTATCTACAAATGGCTTATCCAGGACAGTGTCCGTGTTGGCAACACATCGTCGAACCCGCAATCGTCGCTCGTCTACACCGAGGAGGACCATCTCAAGACCTTTCCCATGATCGAGGCCATCGACTACAATACTACCCACACCATCTCCTCTATCCGCATCACACCATACCCGGCCGGCCACGTCCTTGGCGCCGCCATGTTTCTGATTGAGATCGCTGGGCTCAAGATCTTCTTCACCGGCGACTATTCCCGTGAAGAAGACAGGCATCTTATCTCTGCCAAAGTCCCCAAGGGCGTCAAGATCGATGTCCTCATTACCGAGTCCACCTACGGTATCGCCTCGCACATCCCCCGACCAGAACGTGAGCAGGCCCTCATGAAATCCATCACCGGCATCCTTAACAGAGGTGGCCGCGTCCTCATGCCCGTCTTCGCTCTTGGTCGAGCCCAGGAGCTCCTCCTCATCCTCGACGAGTACTGGGGCAAGCACGCCGAATACCAGAAATACCCCATCTACTACGCCTCCAACCTCGCGCGCAAGTGTATGCTTGTCTACCAGACCTATGTCGGCTCTATGAACGACAACATCAAGCGGCTGTTCCGCGAGCGTCTCGCCGAGTCCGAGTCCTCCGGCGACGGTGCCGGCAAGGGAGGACCATGGGACTTTCGGTTCATCCGTTCCCTCAAGAGTCTCGACCGCTTCGAGGACGTCGGCGGCTGCGTCATGCTTGCCTCCCCTGGTATGCTTCAAAACGGCGTCAGTCGCGAGCTGCTGGAGCGATGGGCGCCGAGCGAGAAGAACGGCGTTATCATCACCGGTTACTCCGTCGAGGGCACCATGGCCAAGCAGCTCCTTCAAGAGCCAGAGCAGATCCAGGCCGTCATGTCTCGCAACATTGCGGGTGCCCGCCGCGGCCCCGGTGGTGATGCCGAGAAGGTCATGATCCCCCGCCGCTGTACCGTCCAGGAGTTCTCCTTTGCCGCACACGTCGACGGCGTCGAGAACAGGGAGTTCATTGAGGAAGTCGCCGCCCCTGTCGTCATCCTCGTTCACGGCGAGGTGCACAACATGATGCGTCTCAAGTCCAAGCTTCTTTCGCTGAACGCAACCAAGGAACACAAAGTCAAGGTGTTCAGCCCCAGAAACTGCGAGGAGCTTCGCATCCCTTTCAAGACGGACAAGGTTGCGAAGGTGGTGGGTAAGCTGGCGTCCATCCCCCCTTCTTTGAAGGAAGCCAAGACCGCGCATGACGGACCTCTCCCCCCCTCCACCGAACCTCAGCTTATCACTGGTGTTTTGGTGCAAAACGACTTCAAGATGTCTCTGATGGCTCCCGAGGATCTCAGAGAGTATGCCGGTTTGACGACCACCACTATTGCGTGCAAGCAGCGTTTGAAGCTGAGTGCCGCTGGTATTGACCTCATCAAGTGGGGTCTCGAAGGAACCTTTGGTGCCGTCGAAGAACTCCCCGAAGTGAAGCCAAAGCTGGAAATCGTTAAGAGCGAGAACGGCGATACCAAGATGGAAGAAGCTGATGAGGAGTTGCCCCACGGTGACGACGTGGTAGCCGCTTACCTGGTCATGGGCTGCGTCACCGTCCGCTACCGTGCTAGCGGCGAGGTGGAACTAGAGTGGGAAGGCAACATGCTCAACGACGGCATTGCCGACGCCGTAATGGCCGTGTTGCTTGGCATTGAGAGTAGTCCAGCTGCCGTGAAGCGTACGTCCCTTTTCTGTTCCCCTTTTCTCCATTTCTCCTTCCTCTTCCCCCCTTTCTTCTTACTTATCCCCTCCCCCCTTTCTGCCTCCATTTCGATCCCCCATACTAACACCATCCAGGCTCGGCCACCAAAAACCCCCACACCCACTCCCCTCTCCCCGCGGAGCAAAACCCTCATTCACACCTCACCCCCGAAGACCGTTTCTTCCGTCTGTGCATGTTTCTCGAAGCCCAATTCGGCCAAGACAACGTCTCCCCCATCGTCGAACCCAAACTTCCTCCCTTGTCACCCACCACCAAAGACACCAAAGCCATCACCTCCCCCTCGGAGGAGACCGCCAAATCCTCCGACGCCAAGTCCGACGCCGACGCAGACGCCTCCATGGACGTCTCGGAAGAAGACGAAGACGAACAGCAACTCAAGGCACGCGAACGCGCGGAGGTGGAAAGACTAGAGAGAATGGGTATTCCGAAACCCGGGGTGCGCATCAAGGTGGATAAGATGGAGGCGAAAGTCTGGTTGGAGGATTTGGAGGTGGAGTGTGCGAATAAGATCTTTAGAGAGCGGGTGAGGGCGGTGGTGGAGCGGGCGGTGGAGGTTGTGGCGCCGCTTTGGGGGTGAGTTTGCTTTGAGGAGTCTTGGTTTGGGACTTTAAGGGGGTGGTAGTTGGTGACCGGACTGAGGATAGGGGTGATTGATTGGAGTGAAAGGGTAAGGGTGATTGATCGGAGTGAGAAGGTAGGGATAACAGGGGGTGAGATAAAAATTGAAATGAGAGGAAAAAAGAACAAAAAACAAAGACAAAAGAGGGAGAGTGTGGTTTCTCACTGGGCAGAACGGACAGATGACATCTTGGAGGAGGAAAAGTATGACAGGTGAAAGCATTTTTTTTTGGTAGTTGAATGGAAGGGAAGGGAAGGAAATAAGGGTTTGACAGAAGAACGGAACAATAATTTCTGTTAGGTCCGTATGTTTCAACGGATTGTATCTGTTACCTGTCTATTTACTCTTTCTTGGCTACCTACTTCTACTTTCATTCATTTTAAACAAAATTGACATGGTTCAAGTTCAGGTGGTGCGGTAGTTGACTGTCCGCATCCGCTGTTAGAGGTATGTATGTATGTAAGTGACCGATGGGAGACACTCGTCCTTGACAAAATTGTTGAGACCTGTGACATTACACGCTGGGTATGTATACTCTTACCACGCATCCAAGCGTCCAGTCCTTATCACGCCTTTTGAACTCGATCTCTAGACAATTCCTGCTTTTAAAAAAATCCTAAAGGGGCTCTAGGTAGCCGATGTGTCTTCTAACTGTTGTAATCCCTATCACAATTTCACAACAGCCATTCTGAACTACAACGAGCAGTATTGGACTGGTTATATAGTCTACTTACTCAGTCTGGTTGATCGCCTGCAAAGCCAAAGAGTCTTGATGAATTTGTTTGTTTGTTAGGTATGGACGAGACACACACTGAACAACTACGGTAGACCGTTTACTTTTGGTGCCGGTAACTGATGTTGTAAGTGGTAACATTTTCTTTTGGGTGGGTGGGTAGGTAGTTGGATAATATGTTTCTATATCTGATGATCTGACACCCTGTACGGGCCATCAACCTTTCCAGTTAGGGGTGGACATATTCAGTTTCTATTCTAGGTGCTTACCTGTAGGTAAGTAACCAGGTTACCTTGAAATTCCTGTCAATTGTCCGCAATTTTATGAAGAGATTTCACACACTCTTCACCGCGGGTCCTCCTCCTCCTCCTCTTTTTTTTTTTTTTTTTTTTTTTTCCTATTGTTACAGAAATTCAGAACTAGATCTATGAACATGGCAGGTCGATAAATATATTACATGGGTTCTTTATGTGGCCTGTGTTTCTCGCCGGTCTTCCCCTTCGGCCATGTTCTTCTTCACCCCTTATTCACCTTGTTTTGTTTCCCCTTCTTAGCCCTCCTTAACCGGAAATACAGTCCCTCTTGGCATCTCCAAACATTCGAGCCACTTCTCCAGGCTCCGGAGGTGATCCCGTCTGCCTTCCGCTTCCTCCACCCTTTCGGCCGCGACATGTTCCCCGATGCTGCGGGGGGGGGGGGGGGGGGGGAACCAGATCCCCGACCTCTTGGTGTTGAGGAAGCCCAGGAACTGGTGGGCATCGGGGTGGCGGTTACGCCGGTGAGTGTGAACGGAGTCACGGTCGGGAGCGGTGACAGCAACGGGGACGAGACGGGGATCCAAGAATGAGAAGCCTCTGAGGATTAGACATAGGGTCAGCTTGGTAGAGCTCCAACGGAAAAGCTGAAGGGAGACATACTCAGGCATTTGAGTGTCTTTTGGAGCGTTCTTGTTGGTCATTTTGGCGGCTTTGAGCTTTTGCTATACAGAGTGATTGTATTCTGTTTCTGGTGGAGTCATGCTGAATTGGGACTCTACCTACTCGAAATCCGAGAAGGGACCTATAGGTATCTTTATAGCCCCCATCGACTTCTCCTCACTTCCAATTGAGCTTTGCTCATGAATTTCAAGTTCAGTCGCCGAGTATCCGACGGGAAGTTTTGATGCTGTTTGGGCATCCATATTTGAGGTTGAGAGGTTTCTCAT